ACAGGCAGACAGACAGACAAATAGAAGGGGAAACGAGGAAGGTACGGACCTACAGTCTCCTGAGGGGTCGGAGCGCTTTCCATTCCCTGCTCGCTGAGGGCTAATGGCGAGTCATCCTCTTGCAACAATTCCATGTTGTCCAGCAGCGGCGAGCCACCTGTGTTTTTCGATAAACCCCTTAATGCTACGTTTCCTGATTAAATTTACGCTCGCATGACTTACGACCTTTTGTTACTTTCTAAATTCTTACGGACGGGGGGGAGGAGTTATTATGGCGCGGGTTGTTTCATTTCTGAGAGGGGGGTGGGCGGCGGCGGCAGCGGCGGGGGGAGAAAGGAACTTTCTGTGATTTTTTACGTGTTGGACGTGAATGTATGTATGTGCGTGTGTGTACGTGTGTATATATATGTATATATAATAGATATATACACACATATATATACGGAAGAGGGCAGTATAATAGCAAACGAGACTAACACAACGCCAGATCGAGACCGCTGTCTTGAGATGGCCTCCTAGGACTAGGGCTGGCGGGTCGCAAGAAAAGCCTCTCGTCTTGCCTTCTCGCTTCCAGTCGATTCAATTCTTCAGCGATCGCTGTGTGACCGTTCTCTGCGGCTAACTCGGTCGCTGTTCTATTCTGACAATCCCTCACGCGAAGCGCCATTGCGTTCCATCTAAGCAGATATACAAAAGAGGGGACATTCGCGATATACGTATATATCGAATCTAATTGAAATCACCCAGTTAAGAACCTAGATAGGTGACGTGTGTGTGTGACAGGTGATACGAACCTATAAAGGATCCTGGCAGTATCCGCGTGTCCTGCTGCACAAGCCCAAGCAAGTGGCGTGAGACCAGCGCTATCCTGCCTCAAAGCGTCAACTTCCGCATCTAACACGCTACTAGGATTTTCCGCTCTCCAGTGAAGGAGGGCGCAGGCTAACCTGGAGTAGCCCAATCCAGCGGCCAAATGCAACAGAGTAGGTCCGCCGGATTGCAGTGGTTCCGCTCCGGCTCGCCACGGACGGACAACAGCATCCTGTTGCACGGGACAATTAAGATGCAATTTACGGAAAGAAATGTACAAAGGCGCCTTAAGTGGGTCGTCAAAGTGGTGGAGGAGGTACTGACTTGACAATACGCGACTAATCGCTCTTCCAGATGAGCCGCGGGAGATGGAGGGCCAGGTCCTTGCAGACGAGACTCCACATCCGCCAAACGATCGAGAAGAGCTCGTTCTGGACTTGGCTCGGTTGTTGGTGCTCGACGATACTCGAAAGCAACGCTATCGGAAACAACGAAGCCGTCACACGCGACCTGGAGGGACGCTATACCCGGAGCATGAGCTGGACAACGACAACGCAACACTCCTGGCTGTACCAGGCACGCCTCGACCGGTTCGGCATCGAACAGCACCGAATAGGACTGAGAATTGCTTCCACCGGTCCATGGACCAGCTACCAACACCTGTAAAAACAATTCGATCCCTGCTGCTCTTTCCTGAACGACCCCGTAACTGCACCGCGTATCTTATCATCTTCACGCCTGCTTTACTACGTTGAAAAGAAATACAAAAAATATCGAGTAACGAGATAACAGAACAAGTTCGAACAATTACTAAAACAACGAGGACCAGATACAACGTGACGAAGCGATAGTAACCAAATAGAAACGAGACAAAACAACACGTGAAAATAAACCATCGACGGATTGATATTTCGATATATGCGTGACTTACCTTTACACCACCCTCGGTGTAACTCCACTCCGGACTGTACTCCGCAATATGGACGGTTGTTCCAGGATGACATCCCACGTCATTATCGGACCCTCCTCTCTCCTCCGCCTTCGTCTGTTCAGCCTCGAAATCGTGCAGTTCCGGCAGATCACCGAACACATCGAACGCGTCCAAGTTGACCAGAACGTCGTCCGAGGAATCGATGAAATCCATCGGATTGATCATGCTGTTGTCCGCTGGAGAAGGTGACGGAGAAGGTGGTACCATGTTCGCCGACAACGTTCTCTGAATATCCTCCTGACTGAGATCCAGCGTCTCGGCGAAATCGGTGACCTCGGAGCCGGCACCACCGATGGGCAACGATTGCACCGTCGAACGATCCATGCTCTCCTGAGCATCGATCTCCTGTTGTGTCTGCTGCTCCCTGTCCACACTCGTCTGCTGTACAATTTGTTGCTCCGTGACCTGTTGCATCTCCACTTGTTGACTTTGCTGTTGTTGTTGTTGCTGCTGCTGCTGCTGCTGCTGCTGCTGCTGTTGTTG